CATGCAATGGATAATCACAGTAATCACCATTGTCTTAGAACTGCAGAACCGGAAGGGACTCTATGGATCATCAAGTCCAGCCCCTGTCAAGGAGGCACAGTGGAGAATGTCTACTGAGGTTTCTTTATTTATGGCAATTTGCCTCCATAAGCTATGCCTTTTGCATGGTTCTGCCTTTTATGTAACTGTGCAACAGGATTTCGGCCATTGTGTTAAATAACCATCCAAGAAAGTAAGAATACGACATTGGAAAATAAAGAAGAGTATAAATAAGATATCCTCTCAAAATACATCCAGTAAACATTTTGGTGTCCAAAAGTATCAGGAAAAAATAATAAATAAATGGTATCCGTCATGAAAAAACATTACCACACATCATTTTAAAAACAACAACAACGCAACTTTGCTATGTCCTCATAAGCCCCAGAATAAAGTGTTGGTGTAATGTTGTTACTTGCGATATGTTACCTCCAAGCGATATCACTACAACGTGATCCGTCATGAAAAAACATTACCACACATCGTTTAAAAAAAAAAAAACAATGCAACATTGCTATGTCCTCGTAAGCCCCAGAATAAAGTGTTGGTGTAATGTTGTTACTTGCGATATGTTACCTCCAAGCAATATCACTACAACGTATGGAAATGAATGCTGTTCAGCTATGCCACCATATCTTTTGGCAGACAATTGACACATCAGGTGCTATGTCCTCATAAGCCCCAGAATAAAGTGTTGGTGTAATGTTGTTACTTGCGATATGTTACCTCCAAGCAATATCACTACAACGTATGGAAATGAATGCTGTTCAGCTATGCCACCATATCTTTTGGCAGACAATTAACACATCAGTTTACAATAATTAGTAAATGTTTTCTTGTTCTTAGAAGATAGCTTTGTCTCTCCCCCACCTCCTGAGATGTGTAACCCATCAGGGACTGGGGAAGATGACTCCTCCTTTGCCCACCAGGACGAGGGCATGTGGCTCTTTCTACCTCTGCAGCTCAGTTTAGAGCAAAGGAAGGGAATATTCCTGTATATTAAGGGAGGGGGTTTGAACATCCCTCGCTGAGGAAGGTGTAGAAAGAACCAGGTTGCAGAATTTTTTAAAAAAAACACAAAATTTTGCATGCAAAACCACCCTGTGCCCAGAAAGGTCTCTCTCTGCTCAGAGAGAATTTACATACACAGGCAATGTAAGTGAGGTTGTGCAACAGAGGAAGGAGAGAAGAAAAATTCTACTTTGAAGCATAAGCACTGGGAGAATATTAAATCAGTGTTTCCTTCTGAGGTGCAGATTTGCACTGGGGAAGTGGATGTCTCGTGGGTGCTTCTGGCTCACATTAAATTATAAACTGTTTCATTGCCAATCTTGTGCTTTTATGACGCAATTAAATTAAATAATTACATTTGAGTGTCACAGAATGACAAACACAGAATGCAAACCTTGTGTGTCACTTGAATGACTTCAAAGTCCGAAGGAAGCAACTCCATACACCCTTGCTTGACTTTCTGTTTTAGCTAGAAAACAGACACAGGCTTATAATTTCATCCGAGACCAGTACAAGAATCAGGAGGTGGCCACAGTTGCATAATGTTTGCCATGTGAACTGACTCAGTTATCAAATTACATGCCATGAAAGGAAGCAGAATTCTGTACCTTTCGTGAAAAGTCAGCAAGGAAGAATGACGCTAGAGGTTGTGGACACACATATAGAAACTACGGGATCACAAACTGATCTGTGCATTAGGCCACTGTAGGATGAAGACTACATCCAATTGATAGTTCCAAATAGAGTAGACTCATTTAATCTACTCATTTAGTAGCCATATTTTATGCTGTTTATTATATGAGTGGTGTGTATTGTGTTCTTCATGTTGTCCTTCACTTCATTTATTATTTTAATTTGCACTTTAACTCTGATGTTGTATTATTTTGCTATTTTATGGTTTTGGGTCTTACTTATGTGCAGGCTTAAGCTCCATTCATTCAGTGGGACTTCTAATTGAGTCCCCAATTGAAACTATCAACTGGATTTGATCTGTAATTATGGCCACTGTTATGGGAAGCATAAGAGAGAGTTTAGACAAATCTATGGAGAATATGCAGTAATGACTGCTCGTTCGTTCGTTTAGTCGTGTCCAACTCTTCGTGACCCCCATGGACCAGAGCATGCCAGGCCCCCCTATCTTCCACTGCCTCCCATAGTTGTGTCAATTTCATGTTGGTTGCTTCGCAGACACTGTCCAGCCATCTCATCCTCTGTCGTCCCCTTCTCCTCTTGCCTTCACACTTTCCCAACATCAAGGTCTTTTCCAAGGAGTCTTCTCTTCTCATGAGATAGCCAAAGTACTGGAGCCTCAGCTTCAGGATCTGTCCTTCCAGTGAGCACTCAGGGTTGATTTCCTTCAGAATGGATAGGTTTGTTCTCCTTGCAGTCCAGGGGACTCTCAAGAGTCTCCTCCAGCACCACAATTCAAAAGCATCAGTTCTTCGGCGGTCAGCTTTCTTTATGGTCCAGCTCTCACTTCCATACATCACTACAGGAAAAACCATAGCTTTGACTATTCGGACTTTTGTTGGCAAGGTGATGTCTCTGCTTTTTAAGGTGCTGTCGAGGTTTGTCATCGCTTTCCTCCCAAGAAGCAGGCGTCTTTTAATTTCGTGGCTGCTGTCTCCATCTGCAGTGATCATGGAGCCCAAGAAAGTAAAATCTGTCACTTCCTCCATATCTTCCCCTTCGATTTGCCAGGAGGTGATGGGACCAGTGGCCATGATCTTAGTTTTTTTTTGATGTTGAGTTTCAGGCCGTTTTTTTGCACTCTCCTCTTTCACCCTCATCTTGTTTTTTCCTTTTGCATGCATGGGTTAGGTATTCCTGAAGGGCATCACCATTTGCACATGGTTGACACTTTTGCAAGTGGGAGATCCTGTATTACTTCAAAATCTGTGTCTCTCTAATTTTAGTACCCAACATTGAGGGTGCACTCCTGTACACCCTTACCATGGAGTAAAACTCATTGAATTAAACAAGGCATACTTCTGAGTAGATAATGCATAGGATTGTGATTTTATTTTTTTTTCTTACTCATTGAAGTCAGGAAGGCAGAATCTTGAATCTTGCCAAGTTATTTTAAGACTTTGGCATAGTTAAGTGTTTATGTAGAAACCATAAGGAAATCACCCTGTTCTAATTATTATATCCCTGGCTACATGGCAGATTCTGCATTGTACCAATTCAACAGATACCATTACTTAAAGAGTTTATGGACTAGCTTCAAATGCTATTGCCTTGCCCTGTTATTTTGGGACATAGTACCCATCATTGTGTTCCATGTTGAATTTGTTAAAGAATTAACAAATGAGGGCAGGAGGATCTGAGCTGAGTTGCTTTCCATTGAGGCTATAATTTCAAGCAAAGTGTGATTTTAAAAAGTCAATTTGCAGGTGGTGAAAGAAATTGCTTTTCATGTGTAAATCTTACTGGATGTACATGGGTCTCTCTTTCTCTAGGTGGAAACATGAACTCCTCTGTTAGGACACTTATCCTTCCCAAGAGATGTCCACAGAATCTGTTTAATTGGAAGCATTTCTGAATAGTTGCCCTTAATAAGAGCTTGAAAGGTTACTTTTAGGGGGCTGTGTCTCTTGGTGACCATATTGGCTTGGGGGGTGGGTGGGTTAAGAGCATTGCAGTTCAAACAGTAATTCCTCCCAGCTTAAGCTTTCTTGAGAGAAAAAATGTATTAGAACTAAGGGAAAAGAGATGGAAATTGAAAAAGGAAGACAAAATATGGAAGGCACCAATTTCTCCTGCTCCAGTCTAACTTAACCTGTGAGGTACAGTAGTGGCCTATATACAAATTCAGATAGTTGGTCCAGGTAGTCTAATAACATCTAATTCTGACAGAAAGCAGCTCTTAGCATTTCAGGTAAAAACCTCTTGAAGTTCCAGTAACTGAGGTGGCGTACCAGTGATCTTCAAGAACAGTGGTTCCCAACATTGAGTCCCCAGATGTTCGTGGACTAAAACTTCCCAAATTTTTCTTCACTAGTTGTGCTGGCCAGGATTTCTGGGAGTTATAGTTGAAGACCATCTGGAAACCCAAGGTTGTGATCGACTGTTTCTGTTTCCAGATTCACATCAGTCCTAGCCATTTCCATTGATTGTTTCTGTTAGCTTTACTGTCTAAGACTGACAGAAACTGAAGTCCATTAACAGGTAGTGGGCCTTAGATTCTTCACCACTCTTTTCTACAGGTTGGAAAGTTACTTTTGAGAAGAATGAGTATAGTATGAAATTCATTACTGAGCAGTGGTAGAATTGTGCTTTGAGACCCAGAGCGTGAAAGTTATGGGTGGCTTCAGCATGTCATTGCATTCATTTGCCTGTAAGGATTGTTTGCAATCTAGCTAATTCTAGGTTTCATATCGTTTGTCTCTATGAGAACATAGCAAATTATTTTAGCTCAGCTTGAAATAAAGCAACAGTTCCTTAGAACAGAAAATGGAAGGCTCTGGGGTTGGTTCCTCCCTCCCTCCCTTCTCTCAGTTTCTCACAGTGCCTCAGAATTGTTGCTTTCAGTTATCTTTCTATGGGGGAATAAAATGATCAATAATGAGCAGCGGAAAATTTCATAACCTGTTGATTGCCTCATAATAACCTGAGTAACTGAATCCAAACTGAGAAGTGATTTCTCCCCCTCCCCTCAGTTGTATACTAGCCAGCTAGTTGCTAGCTTTCCCTGACTGTAGTTTTGACTTACATCAAATGGCCATTTATTATAATAGTCTGTAGCTCTCTATAGAGTTTGCAAGAGTATGCAGTGATGGATCTTGAGGGGGAAATTACACTTTTGGCCTAAAATGTTGTATTTGATAGAAAATATGACAGACTATTGGTTTGCAGCAGTGTTGTTGAAATTGTGCTGCTCAAGAGTTTCATCACTGTGACATTAAATCTAAGACAGACTTTAATCAAAAGCTATCTTCTCTTCCCAGACCATCGTTAGAGGAAATAAACCTTGCAAGGACACTTCAATCAATGGCTTGCTGGAAGAATTTGACAATATCTCTGTGACACGTTCCAACTCGCTTCGGAAGGAGAGTCCTCCCACCCCTCACTTGGGCCGCTCAAACCACGTAGAAATCCACCAACAGGAAAATGGCTACATCACGTACTCTCAGTACTCAAGCGAGTCAGAGGCCTCTGTGGACTTCCTGAGTGAAAAATACAAAGACAAAACTGTTCAGAGGGAAGAATTAGACAGATACTCAAAAGGTAGCTGTGCTGCTAAACAAAATGGACATGTGGTGAAAATGAAACCCAGTGAGATGTATTTTCCAGAAGCGAAGCCCCTGAAGGCCGACATCTGTAGGTTCTTACCAGATTATCATGCTCACATGGAAACAAAAAGCCAACTGAATGAGTATAGTGGTATGAAGCTGGAATACCAGAGGGCAAGTGGCTCTTCTCTGGATTACAAAGAATCTTTCCATTACACTCCTTCTAGAACTTCCATTCACAGTCAGTGCTCCAGGGAAAGACTAGAATACAGTGACATCGACTGGGCCAAGGATGATTATGACAAAAGACCCAAGTCCTCCTATGTAGACCAGGCAAGCCCTCAACCCGCCATGAGACAAAGATCCAGGTCAGGCTCTGGTCTCCAAGAGCCAGTCATGCCCTATGGAGCAAGTGCTTTTAAGTCCAACCAGCAAGGCTATTCGTATAGTTCATATACCTACCCTCGCTTGTCAGAAACAGCAGCAGGCATGCCAAAGGTAAATGTTTACAGATCGACCTTTTCAACACTGTGGTCATTTCAGTATTTGGAGTTAAACACATATTTGGTGCTCTAATCTAGGCCCAGGATGTCAGGTCTAAAACACCTTGTTTTTGCTCTTTAGAAGATCACACATGGGTAAAAGACAGGGATGGACAAGAAATTGGTCCAGTTCGTAGCTGAATGTGATCTGCTGTGATTCACACTTTCTGAACCTATAGGCAAATAGATAGGCAGTTGACCTTGCACTTTACAAATTTTGCAGCCCAGTTCTCAAATACAAGGTATGCACAAAAATGCACATCTTAGGAAACAGCACTACAGCAAATAAGCTTGTTAATAAAAATAATATATTGAAATGCATTATGTTTGGGGAAATTGCTTGCAGGAAACGCAAATTTTGAAGAAAACTGTATATGAAAATTATGCATAAGGGGGAACAGGGTGCAACATTGCCTGAGCATTTTCATGCAGGGTTTCCAAACAATCACAAACAGGTATAAAAATGAAATGAAACAAACATTTACTTGGGGGGGGGGGAAGAGAAACTCAGCAAAATTGAAATTGACAGTTCTCCTTTTACATATTGGGTGAAAACACTTTTAGAACAAGGGCTTTTCCATAACAGCTCTGGAGCCACATTGAAGTATAGAGTTTGACAATGGTTTGGGGCCAACATACATTTTAAAAGATTTCTGAAACTGAATCACTGAAAGTTTCCCCACTTTTCTGACTTGTTCTCGCAGATATTGGCAGTGTGCCTTTAATATCCTTGAATTTAGCAACCAACCAGATATGCACTGGAATGCCCAGGCCAATGTGCATGTCTTCTAGCTACCCAACTGTTTTCAGTAGCATTCAGGGTGATTTGAAAGTTTCCCCACTTTTCTGACTTGTTCTCGCAGATATTGGCAGTGTGCCTTTAATATCCTTGAATTTAGCAACCAACCAGATATGCACTGGAATGCCCAGGCCAATGTGCATGTCTTCTAGCTACCCAACTGTTTTCAGTAGGATGTTTTTCACAATCTGTTGCTTTCACCAGGATGCGTATTTGGCTGTCCATCTGAATGATGTTGTTGATTATGGATAATTAACTATATGTATACCTGCCTTTTCACTACAAAGTAGCATTCAGGGTGATTTGCACTCTTTGTCAAACAATAAAAATGAGTAAACCAAATGTAACCATAAAGTCATTAAAATCAGATAAAACAAACTCTACCATAAAAGCCAGGAAAATACATTTATATAATCAAATATATGCTTCTGAGGGCGAAAATCAATACTATAAATAGGCTGTGATTAAAGGTGAAAACATGCTAGAGAAATGTGATTCAGGCAATCCAGATTTCAAAGAAATCTCATACTAAAGTCCTGTAGACTAATTGCAAAGCAAAGCAAGCTAATTTTGAGATCATATGAGGTAAGAAAAGCTTCTGCTATACACTTAAACATGTTCAGTAGCTAAGGAATTCCTTAATCAATAGGCTATGTTTAATGTCTGTTTCTGCTCTGTGATAACTAAACCCATGGCTACAAATGTTGCTGCTTATATTATGACCATAAGGTTAAACTTAATAACATAATCACTAATCAAGTAGTTGAGTTTTTAATTGTGCAAACACTTTTTACATCAGTTGGCATAATAAATCAGTCCAAGCCATTAAGTGCATGACAAATACTTGGAATTCACTAGCTTTATTCCATTGCAAGCAAATAATGTTCCTGATACTTTTAGCATAAGATGAAAGCACTGGATGCGAGTGGTTTCTGGGTCTGTAAATCTGGGGAAATAACTCACATCGAAGGAACAGATTCACAGTTTGGAGGTGTTTCAGGATCCATTGCTATCACTGGAAGTCCAAGTTACCTTCATGGTTTAGGAGCTGAGGCTGGTATTCTAACTACACTTATTTTTTAGAGAAGTGTAGGCTGGCCACCATAATAGTGTCATGCCAGAATCCAAATCCTTATACAGCTTGGGACTCCATTATTTTCCCGTGTCTTGCCTTGGTTTTTTTCGTTTCATGCATTAACGCATTCACCATAGTAGCATTTCATTTGCACACACATACAGTATATACACAAACTCACCTCCATGTTTTGTTCACTCGTGGGACTGGTGAACGACATTGAAAAGCAAGGGCAGCTCCTCTTTCTCTGCTTTGTTTCATAGATGTATGTGTGCAATTCACATAAACAGCAAGAGATGTTCAATCATATGCACACCATCCATGCAGGCACACACACACACACACACCCCTCCCTTTTTCTCTCACATGGAGCCACACTGTTCATTGCATACACATTATATTCACTTGTCATACACACATAGACCCAAGCCGTGGGAGTAGGGTGTCCATTGTCTGCGCTTGGTGTTGTTTCCACAGGACTGTCTGTAAATCAGTGCCTTCCCCACATAAGCTGAATTGGTAGGTTAGCACCTTCATTTCCATTACAGTCAACAATGGTCCACTTTCCCCTGCTGCAGCCTCTCTCAGATCCAAATGTTGCTGCTTATATTATGACCATAAGGTTAAACTTAATAACATAATCACTAATCAAGTAGTTGAGTTTTTAATTGTGCAAACACTTTTTACATCAGTTGACATAATAAATCAGTCTTCAAGCCATTAAGTGCATGACAAATACTTGGAATTCACTAGCTTTATTCCATTGCAAGCAAATAATGTTCCTGATACTTTTAGCATAAGATGAAAGCACTGGATGCGAGTGGTTTCTGGGTCTGTAAATCTGGGGAAATAACTCACATCGAAGGAACAGATTCACAGTTTGGAGGTGTTTCAGGATCCATTGCTATCACTGGAAGTCCAAGTTACCTTCATGGTTTAGGAGCTGAGGCTGGTATTCTAACTACACTTATTTTTTAGAGAAGTGTAGGCTGACCGCCATAATAGTGTCATGTCAGTATCCAAATCCTTATACAGCTTGGGACGCCATTATTTTCCCTTGTCTTGCCTTGGTTTTTTTCATTTCATGCATTAATGCATTCACCATAGTAGCATTTCATTTGCGCACACATACAGTATATACACAAACTCACCTCCATGTTTTATTCACTCGTAGGACTGGTGAACGACATGGAAAAGCAAGGGCAGCTCCTCTTTCTCTGCTTTGTTTCATAGATGTATGTGTGCAATTCACATAAACAGCAAGAGATGTTCAATCATATGCACACCATCCATGCAGGCACACACACACACACACACCCCTCCCTTTTTCTCTCACATGGAGCCACACTGTTCATTGCATACACATTATATTCACTTGTCACACACACATAGACCCAAGCCGTGGGAGTAGGGTGTCCATTGTCTGTGCTTGGTGTTGTTTCCACAGGACTGTCTGTAAATCAGTGCCTTCCCCACATAAGCTGAATTGGTAGGTTAGCACCTTCATTTCCATTACAGTCAACAATGGTCCACTTTCCCCTGCTGCAGCCTCTCTCAGATCTAGATTCTTTGCAGATGTACCAAATTGTATACGTTTTTGCCACTGCACTCCAGTCCTCACCACCTCACGGACCAGGGAACTTTTGTTATGCCTCAGGGGATTGGGGGGATATTTCACAAGAACTAAGAATGCAATCTTGTGCATGTCTGCTCGGAAGTAAGTCACACCAAATTCAATAAGACTGCTGGGTAAGCACAGGTGAGACTGCAGCTTAAAAAAGTCTTTTGTGCCAAAGGGAGAATGTCAGCATTTGAGTTATATTGGTGAGACAGTACAGCTGCTTCTGCAGCAGCATGTTCTGTCTCGCTGCTGTAATTCTGATAGATTTCTTGTCAGAACTTTATCTGCTCTGTCAACCTGGACCTGAGAATTTGAATTCCCTTCTCTACCAACTCTTCCTTGAAACTATTTTCTCTGGAAAATTTGATTCATTTATATCTATGTCTCAATTAAATATATAAGAAAGAAAGGGAGAAGGAAACATGTCATGAGACAATACCCGGTGCATGCGGCTGTCTTTCTGTTTTTGAAATGCTGTAGATTGTTATGTTCGGGCCATATTAGAATTAAATTGTGTCAAGTATGCTTAAAGGCATTTTGTTATGTATGTCAAAGGAAGCAGAAGTTGTAGGGATATCAATGTGCAAGGTGTATGTGCAAATTCATTTTTTACAACAGCTTGTTTCTGTTTTTTTTTCCCCTCTTTGGCTTGTCTCTTGTAGTTTATTGTGCAAATATATACCTGTTGATATTCATTAAAGCAAATTTCGAATCATTAACACACAAAGGAAATTAACCTGTCTCTGACATCTGAGCTTCCCATTTAGTGATCAAAAAATGATACATATTTCATAGGGGACAACAGAGTTATTATCCAGCCTTTTCTCAACAGCTTGCTTTATATTAATCAATGAAATATATGTAATAGCAAAAGATAAGAATAAACCTCTCAAGCCATGGTTTAAAGCAGGATAGGCATCTTGTGTCTTTTCCTGTGTTGTTGGACTGTCTGCCTAGCCACCATAGAGAAGGTTGAGGGATGTTGGGAGCTGCCGTTCAACAGTAAAATGGTGACCGATCTGCCTACCCTCCATTCCAAATTACCAAACACTTCAGAATCGTGTAGAGATTAGCAGGCAAGGACCTACTCACTGCTTGGATGATGGTCTAGCCAGGAGCATTATGTGCGGTGCCTCGAGAGCCATCGTGAAAGCTAGGTACAATATTCTTTTTCATGGCAACCTGTGTTGCTCTTGAATTTATAGGAACCATGGTGTTTCATGGCAACCTGTGTTGCTCTTGAATTGGCATCCTGGCAGGATTTTGCTGCTGCTGCTGTTATATGCCATCAAGTTGCTTCCAACTTAGGGCAACTCTAGGATGATGACTTTCAGAAAATCCTATCATCAGTGACTGTGCTCTGCTCTTGCAAACATAAGGCTGTGGCTTTTCTTTAGGAAGTCAGTCCGCCCCTTATTTGATCTTCCTGTTGCCTTCAACCTTTCCCAGCATCATTTTCTT